GAGAAGATCCTGGATGGTCTGCTGAACCTGGTGGATTCAGACCCCAGCTTTCTGCTTGCAGCAGTGCATTGCTTGCCTCTGGCTGCCTCTCTCAGGGATTCTCTCAGCCAGATCCTGCAGAAAGCTATCACCCCCAATCTGGTTTTCTCCATCCTGATTGCTAAAAACCAGCTGCTAACCATCGTCCAGGAGAAAACCGTGATCGAGGATGCGAGGCTGGCACCGGCCGACGTCCACCTGCTGCTGAACCTCATCGGAGCCTCTTCTGCTTTTCAAGCTGGGGAGATCTGGACTCCGATCTGCCTGCCCCTCTTTAACCCTGACTGCTATTTTTATGCATACATCTCCTACCTGGACCCCCCGGACTGTACGGTTTGTTTGCTGCTGCTCTCCACTGACAAGGAGGCCTTTTACTCCGTAGCTGAGTGCAAGAGGAAAATCGAGGAGGCCATGTTGGCTCAGAACTCCCTCAGCCTCATTGCCAAAGCTCAGTCGTACAGCGTGAGTCAGGTTGGCGTCTCAGACCTCAGGCACTTCATGTACAAGCCCTTCGACGTGCCAGACAACTACCGCCAGCTCACCCAGTTCACCAGGTATGTGTGTGTAGATGTGACTTTGACTTGTTCCTCTTTAGCTATTGTCTGACAGCTGCCTGTGACTCTGTGTGTTTAACCTGATTGTAGTCCAGAGATGGAGGCTCCATACAGCAGCGAGGAGGAGAAAATGCGGCTCCTGGATCTGTATCGATACATGCACAGCCGCATCCACAGCACCTCACGACCCCTCAAGCTCATCTACCACGTCGCTGAGAGGGAAACTCTGCTAGCCTGGGTGAGGAGCTCATAGTTGGGGTTACAGCCTCATTATTGTCAGGCATTAAATACAAGCTTTAGAACATGGATGCATGTGCTGTAAACAGTTCTAACATACTTCCTTTATTTTCCTTTTTCAAACAGCATATTTTTTTCGAATGAATGAAGTCTGTCTATTTCTGGTCATTAGGATCAACAGAAATAGATTATTTTGATTACATTTGAAGAAGTTGGCAGAAATGTTACATAAAATAAGGGCTTTTAATGCCTGATAGGAACATGCACTCCCTCTAATAATTGTTTATCAGCAAGGCTGCACCTGAAAGCCACTTTTATTGGGTGAGAAAAACCGAAACAAAACTCTGAACAAAGTCAGCAAACCCCTGATTCCAGAGCTGGCTCTGTCTGTTTGGGAGAAGGTAGCTGATGTGCTCTCCTGCCTGGAAGCATTCAGCATGAGTCGATAATGGTCTGACCACGTTTTCACCATAGTCTTATTACATAGATATGTGCAAATAATGAGGTCAACGTGGTTAAAACACTACTTCTGTGGCCGTCATGCTCATTTGAGCTCAGCTTATTAGCCTAAATTCAGTCTCATTTTTTCGCATCTTTCTCCAGCATTTGTTCTAAAATTTGCTCATTTGAGGGAGGGAAATCAGACTTCTTGAAATATTTTTCTTATAAGTTAACGTAAATGTTTCTTCCTGAAATGTGTATTTTCCCTTGATTTGAGCAGTATTAAAATTTGCCAATGAAATAAGATGATTTATGCTAAAATTAAAAGACCTAAAGCATGCACTGGGGCGGTTCCGGCCGGGATGAGAATAAGCTCCTCGCAGTCCGAGGCCATGGTTCTCGATCTGAAAAAAGTGCATTGTCTCCTTCAGGTTGGAGAAGAGCCCCTACATCAGGTGGAGGAGTTCAAGTATTTTGGGATTCTGTTCAAAGATGAGAGGAAAAAGGAGCAGGAGACCAATAGACGAATCGGCGTTGCTGCTGCTATAATGCAGACGCTGCACCGATCTGTTGGGGAGAAGAGAGCTGAGCAAAAAAGGCAAAGCTCTTAATTTATGGGTCGGTCTACGCTCCTACCTTCACCTATGGTCGTGAAATCTGGATCATGACCAAAAAACCAAGATTCTGGATTCAAGCGGCTGAAATGAGCTTTCTCTGTAGGGTGGCTGTGCTCTCCCTTAGAGTGATGATCTCAGTCATCCAGGAGAGGCTCAGAGTAGGGACGCTTCTCCTCCACATCAAAAGGAGTCAGCTGAGGTGGCTCATACATCTTTTTCGGATGCCCTCTTGATGCCTCCCTTAGGAGGTGTTCCTTCCAAGGGAGGTTGTAAGAGAACATTACATATTTGACCCGATTTAGGCCACATGTGCCTGTTCAGGACTTTGGAGCTGATGTGAAAGCTGCAAGACACCTGCCCTCAGTGGCTAGATCTAAAGGTTGGTTAGAGATGGATAGATAAGACTGATAAAACTATATTCCGGACTCATGGTCCAATAAATACATACATAAAATAAGATAAAATAGTTAATGATAAAAAGCACAATACAAGTACCATTACTGACTAAATAGGAACTTTAAGAAGACAGGAATACCAGTGTGTCCACAGCTTAGTCTGATAACGAATCTAACTCAGGGCTAGCCAAAGTCAGCCCCCGAGGGCTGCTGTCCTATCAACACATCTCTACTAGAGAACAAACGACAAAGGTCTTTGCTTTTTAGGCCGATGCAGAATATTAACTCTGGGTAACAAATAGAGCTCAGCAAAGTTGGCATCATGCGATCTGAAGGCATGGCTGCTAAATGCACTAATGAATAGGGGAATGTTTGTACTTATCCCTAATCTACATCAATGGGTCAGTTTCATGCTACTAATTTGAACACATCTGATAACGTACTTTGGGAAAAAATTCTGTTTTGTCTCGTTTTCTTTTTAGGTCACAAGCAAATTTGAGCTCTACACCTGCTTTAGCCCTCTGGTGACAAAGACCTGTGCCATTACTGCCATCACCAAGCTTCTGAGATGGATTAAGAAGGAGGAGGACCGCCTCTTCATCAGATACCCCCCCAAGTATTCGACCACTCCTAACCCCAGCAAGAGCTCAAGAAGCAGCAGATCAGATCAGCAAGACACCACAGATAATGGCTTCTTATCGCTCCTATAGGACTCTTAGAGCTGCTGCCTCACTCAATTTTTACACTTGACCCAGAGGTATTTTTCAGAATCTGTTTTTCAGACATGTTGGACTTGACATAAACTGACAAGTAGAATCGGACACTACATTTTAGCTTATTTAAAGAGTCTAGTATTCTTCCTTTTTCCTGAGGAACGGGAGCATGTTGTCTCTGAGACGCCTTTGTTTAGAGACCATCAGGCCGAAGCAGTTTTAGTTTGAACTGTGGTACAACACAATTGGGGGAAAAATATTTAAGTAAAAAAGATTTTATATTGTTTTATTACAAAAAGAGAGAATATTTCCTCATGGACTCTGAATGTATCAGATGAGTTTGTTCATAAGCTATAGCAATCTTGTTTGAGTTAATACTAAAGAAAAGTAGGTCAGATGTTGGCATTTTGGGGAGCTGGGAGTATGCAATAGTTTTTATTAGGTCAATATAAACTGGAATGATGACACTGGAACTGCCACAAGAAACTGACCTTCATGGATGATGTTTTAAAATAAATTGCAGGGTTTCATTACAGCTGGTACTCGCATTCAGCAGAGCGAAACATTTAGATGTTTTCTAAAGAAAACAAGCCTCATGTTGATCTTCAGATACTTTCATACCTGAAGCGTCGGGCTCTTTGACCTCTTTCAAGGACTGTCTTCTTAAGAGTCTATACATGATGTCCTCACACTCGTGAGTCCTGAGGTATTTTCTGTCGATTCAAGTCTTAACAGTGTTTTTTGTTTCATGAAATAAATTTCGGAGTGCACACATTTTATTTTTATTTTTTTCTGGGAAATTTCCCGTAACTTTTGTAGATCTCCAGCCTCCTGCCAGTTTATTTATTCCAATAAATAGTAAAATCTGCTATAAATAAATGGTTAATGTTAAACGGGCTTTAAATAATTTATCTATGCAAAGAAGGGAATGAAAAGGTGGGAAAAATGAAGGAAAAGGGACGGAAGGAATGAATATAGACATAAGTGAAGAAAGCAAAAAACAAACAGGTAAACCTGGCTTGAAGTAAAGGAGAAAGGAAAGACCTTACATAAGGTAAACAAGTAATATGTACTTAAAGACAAAAGACTTAAAAGTAAGGGAAAAGGTTTGTAAAGGAGAGAAGGAAATGAAAATTTATGAGGAAGGAAGAAGGGACATTAAGACAATAGGATCCGGAAAACAGTCTTTAAAAACCAATCCTTTCTCCTCTCACTTTCATACTTAAAAAAATAAATGAAAACTGTAGAAACCAAACTCTTTGGAAGCCCTTCATGCACAGATCCACTGACAAAAACATGGTGTCAGCATTATGCATTAGAGATGTTTTTCTCTAGCAAGGACAGGAACCTGATGGGAACACGGATGCAGCCAAGTTCGAGAGAAAACCCCAGAGCTACAGTGCAATGCTTTGGATCAAAGCTTCTGGGCTGATGGACAGCTTTAAGGTTTTCATCTGTTAAAAAAAGCTATTTGGGTAAATGACTTCTAAACTTAGAAATAAATAAAAGCTCAATCAAAAACAACAGAAGAATTACTTTCAAACAGCATTTATTCCTGTGAGAAAATATTGTCCTAGACAGACAATAGATCTTGCAGAACATTTTAAAGGACAAGATTAAAAAATCTGCCACTGAGAATGATCAAAAAGAAAAAAATCTGTAGGCTGCTGCCTACAGGCGTATGCCACCATGTCTCCATTTTCCTCAGACATGTTGGTAAACACCATCACTACTATAAAGAGCTACTCAGCTTCATACATAAATCTTTTTAATAATTCAGTTTTTAAATAACTCCCTCTATGGCAACACATAAATTAAATTCTATACTTGATTTTTGCATTCCTTAAATTACTTCCTGTAAGCGAATATAAACATACATTTACATATTTACAAAACTATACACATGCACTTTTACCACACAGATTGTATACATGTATAAGCTGTACATTAACAGACAACAGTAGGTTTTGCCACACATATTCTTCCATATATATATATATATATATATATATATATATATATATGGCTCCAGGAAACACCGTTCGTGTAGGTTTTTCTATTCCAAAAATTAGACCATTTGTGCTTTTCAAGTCATTCCAGCCAGATTTAGAAAGAAAAGTTTCTCAGTGGGTTTTTTTCACCTCTGCAGGGGTATCTGCACCGACCGCTCTCAATCTACTAACATATTAACAGTTTCACAATATGGAAAATAATCAAACACCAAAACAGTTTCACCAACGGCATGTGTAAACGTGTAAAAAAAATGTTGGCACTGTCCTTTTGGAAGAAAACATTTGGGTAGGTATTAAAGACTTCTATGGCAAAAAAAAAAAACTAAAATATAACAGACTGAGCTTGAAGAGAAAAAAAATCTAAAGTTGACTTTGAATTCATGGAAAAGTTTGGTAACTTCTGTTTGAAACCAGATATTTGCATACGCTCCCATCGTACCGTTCAGAAAAGAGGATAGGTCCTGTTTCCTAGAGACCAGCATGTCAACAAATAGAAGAAAAGCAAAATGACCAAAAGATGCTGAATTAAGCTGGTAGAATTATGTCAGAAAATCAAGTACTTTACAAACATTCCTGAAAGGTCAGAGGGGAAGAAGCCAAACTTCTGATCTGAAGATATACTTTGATCTGATAATACAAAAACAACCATTGGTATATATGCAGGGAAAAGAGTCGCAGAGCAAATCTGAGAACAAGACATAGTAAGATGGTGGACGTGTGCATGGGTGTTTGTTTGTATCAGGAGGGCATTAACATAAATGAATGAATCTAAGGAAGGAACATCATTTAAATATTGAACAACTCGTCAGGCATCAGCCACAATTTTAAAGCTTGGATCGTTCAAACCGAATCCAAACCATTGAAATAGTTATAGTATGGGTTACTTTAAAATCCTATGGTATATAAAGTAACGAACTTCCTCTCAATATAGAACGTTTTTTTTTTAAACTGTATGTAAATATCTGGTCTTAACAGTGTGTTTAAAAGAAAAAAAATCCAGGTTTAAACATGTTAAGGTGAAACTTCATACTTCATTAAACACAGTGACATTTCGAGAGCAAATACAATCTAAATATGTTTCGAACCATAAACAATTCCTTCAACAATAAACCATCACATGCCTCCATCACTTTGGGCCTGATTCACAAACTTCATAAGAACACACAGCAACAAGTGGTTGTGGAAAACACCTTTTGAAAATTGTACATAGAAAATAAATAAACTAATTTATGAAAACACACAGAACCTTTTCTTCATAAATTTTGAAACCAAGCAACATTTTTCTTTGCAAAAAAACCTTCAAATACTATCACTATTTACTCCTTTAAGAACTTTTAAGGAAGCCTCTGTAAATTTCTACAGACGGCTAATTTAGAATGATAAAATCTTTTTAAAATATGCTCTATATAAAATTGGAGGGAGTAAAGTTAACATTTCTTCTCACATGGGTTAAATGCACCATGGCGCGGTCGTACGCAGTGTGAACCGACTTCCGAACGCTGGGTTTCTTGCCCTCCATCAGGCGTAGTTTGTCTACAGTGTCATCCATCCCCAGAGGCAGTAGTTTGTTTCGAGGCAGCCACTGCCTGTAAAACACAGATCGTTTTAGAACCTACCCTTCTGAATTCAGGCTGAAGATCCAGGGTTTTAGTACGGTGTCAAATATCTTACCAAGTTCTCTTTGTGTCAAAGAAAAGCACTAAGAAGAGCTCGTGGCCTTCGTCAGTGTGTCTCCATTCACCCAGTTTGAGGACCTCCCCAGGAGGCACAGGGATGGGGATGCCATTATGTAGGAGTCCTTCCTGAGGCATGTCAGGATCAACAATCTGGAATAAAGACAAGGGTCAGGAACCGGCTGTAAATATGAACTCCTGTCGGTACACAAATAACTTTGGTCTCACCATTGCTGGATATGAGGGGTATCCTCTACTTTTGGCCCAAACGAGGTCCAGCGGTGAAAGTTTGGTCTCCCTATCTAAAGAAAGAAGTGTGGACTTTCCTGTGAACAAGATGCTTTATTAGTACCGCTAATCACTGAAAGCAGAAAAGATGTGAATATATTAAAGCTGCATGACATGCTACCATATTGATCTCAACATGATACACACCAGAATTGGAGATGTCTCCATTTTCTTTGTTGGGAACCTTAGCCAAAGCTGGCTTACCTCGACTACGTTTGGGAGGACAAGTGCTACAGATGATAGGACAGAGGGAAGCAGTAAAGATGTGTCATTTTCATCTTTAAGCTAAAATGTTTGTTGTTTTTTTTTTTTTAAATCGTCGTTTCCTAACCAGTACTGTAAACCAAGTTCTCCCCTTAGGGACAGAAAAAGTGAACTAATAAACAAAAGGAAACGATTGTTTCAAAGAATCTTCCTAAAAAATCTTTACTTTGAGAAGACATGATCCCTCTGCTGGAAGTAAAGGTTTTGAAAGGATCTCCACATTAATAAGCTTTCTGGGATTAATAAGCTTTCGGCTAAAAAACATAAGGCAAAAATGATTGATAACAAACATGTTACAGGGGGGTCTGATATTTACAGGTAGCATTTCTATTTTTCACACATATACCAGAAACCTTGTTTTCTTCAAAAAATAACTGTTTCAATAAATTCCTTATCGAACAGTAAAAAAAAATACAAATTTTTTTATGGTAACTGTGGTAAATAAACCTTCAAGTTCAAACTGTGAGTGTTTCAACAACAAAATCATAATTAATAGATGAGTTGTGGATCCATTTTTCATTCATCTATGGGATTATTACAGCGATTATATGGAAGTAGGGATGGTTTGGTGATGAAGACAAAAAAAAACATTTTCCTGCCACTCTATTGTTTAGCTTTTAAATACCTTTAACTAATATGCTGGGAAAAGTACCAGAGTTTTCCTTAAAGGTACAATGGAGGATGTTCTTTTTTTAGGTGGATCATCAAAATAAGTGTTCCTCCTGTGACATGTTTACGTAAGGCCTTACTATGTGCTCGTCCCCATTTTCACTTACCAGTGGTGAGTCATGGTCTGACATAGTGGAAATATTGCAAATCTTTTGGAAAGTAAGCTTGTATGAGCGATGCAAACAGCAACTTTTAAACAGAGCGTGCACGAGGAGAAATGGGCTCGTCCACGTTCTCGCATGCATTTATTAGACGTTCCCTCTGGGAAGCTGGTACAGGGTTGTGCATGTGAATTATTTTTTTGGACAGGGCGGGCCTGTTCAAAAATTTTATGAAAATCCTCCACTATACCTTTATGGAGTATAAAGAAAGACAAAGCGGCCACTTCCCCACCTATTGCTATACCTTGGTGGTAAACCTTTCCTTCTAGATAATAATATGAATTTTGGCCAGCACACTGAGCTGTAAGTGTTGACTACCTGAGACAAAAGTCTTATTATCAAACTACAAAGTTAAGCAAGTGTTTACTTCAGCAGAAAATAGAGGAAAAAAACCTGAGCTGAGAAGATATTTCAATAAATTCTATTAATGTGCTTTTTACATGTATTTCTGTTTTATTCAAGGCACTTAATGTTGCTTTGTTGACCTCTATACTGGGACTAATTTAATTCTGATGCCTTATACTCACGTTAGGTTCAGGTCATCACCATCATCCTCCTCATCGTCCGCAACATCACCTTGCTTTCCAGACGTGTGCTTTCCATTAGTCAGGGCTAGCAAAACCAAAAATTAAAGCTAGACAAGCTGGACCTTTTAATAAGCCTCAAGTATAGAATACAAGTATTCCTTACCTTCATCTTTGGAGGGTGCAGGAGGTTTATCGTGTTCGCTCTCCGAGCTGGGACCTCTGGACCTCAGATGGTGTGAGGAAGGAGACGAGGGGGAAGGGGACGCGTTAGGAGTAGGAGGTAAGGTGGTGATGTTGACACTGGGGGAACTGGGATGAACAGCAGTGCTGTCCAGCCCGTTAGTTTTCTCATTAGAGGTTTTGCCATTTTGCCACTGGGAGGACTTGTTTTTTCGCGCCCCGTTTTTAGCTTTCTTAAACAAAACAGACGTGCGACGGCCAACTCCAATTAGGGGTAGAGTTGGAGGCGTGCCGAGTGGCGTGACCTCGTGAACAGCTTCTGGTTGTGAAGACGGCGTTTCACCAACTTCAGCCTCATCTTCACCTTGGCCTTTGCTCCCACTGCGCGAGGACCTCTGACGCTTGTAGGAGCGCCCCGGTGACCTTTGCCCTCCTGTTACAATGCCCAGGACAGGAGGTTCCAGAGGAGCATCTCCTGGTAGAGGCGATGACACCGGACAGGTGAGCTCAAGCACAGGTGGAGAGTCATCTGTGTCAAGTAGAAATTGATAACGGCGCATTTATTCTTCATCCAAATTCTCCACCATCAACTGGTTTGACATTCAGTAATCTGACCTTTTGACACCTTTCAGTCTTTGGATCAAAGTTAAAAAGGCTCTTCACCAAAGAAAATGTCAACATTAAACAATTAAAGTAACATAATTATTAGTTTTCGCCTCCCCTGAAAAGGGAGCCTGAATTTCTAACCATTTTTTTTTTCCACTTGTATTTTATTTTTATTTTTAATTAAATAATTACAAACAGTAAAACACAGAACATTTGGTCAGTGGTCTACATTAACCACTTTCCCCAAAGGTCCTCATATTTTGCTCGTCACAAACCTATTATAAAGTTCTCTCCATACTGTTCATGTCTGTGGCGTATTTACCTGTATGGGGTTAATATTTGTACCATTTATGTCAGATGGCTTTTTATTTTGCTGCTGCCAACATTTTAAAAATATAAATGTATTTTTTTTTTTATCCCTGGTCCTATTATATGATCAAAACATAACGCCAGTGTTGTTTTTTGAAATGCAGTATTCCAACATCTTCCTAATAATGGGACACGTTGTGACACTACCAGAAGATACATGTAAGACCCACATCCTGCTCTCTGCACGGTTTCCAGCACAGTTGAAGCAATGACAGTGAAAACAGTGAAAATTTCATCTTTGGAGAAATAAAATATTGGTCTACATTTTCTTTTAATTCCTAGAGATAATAGTAGTTACTTGAGGTTTACAAATACTGTACCATATGTCATTACTTATGTCATTTATCCCAGACAGATAGCCTTGAGGTTTTTACGAAAACATCTTTATAAAATGTTGATATCCCTTAACTACTTCTGCTTTAATATGCATCACTTAATATGTGTGTAACTGCATTTCTTTTCACCTAGAAGGTTGTAGGGATAATTATCATTGATGATGTGTGAGTTTGTTACACCTTAATGTTAGTTGCCTGTTACGTTTCAGAACTGATGTTTTCCACAATCGTTTATCTAGATAAAACAGTTCCTCTGTCTGGATATACAGTTATAATCTTCATTCTCTACGAGGCAAAGATTTGGAAATAGAATGAGAGCAGTGTCCTTCAGCTAAGAAAGAAGTGTAATATTTTGATAAGGCTGGAGCCATGGATGTCCACTCATCTGCTAACGTGTCTGATGTAATGATGTGGGAGACTGGAGATGTATAAAATGTCGCAGCTGCCATTCTGTAAACTCTAAACAACTTCTCTGCTCTGAGTAAGATTACAATTTCTATCAGAATCTGTTGTCATGTCTCCTGGTTATTTAATACGTATAAGTTATAAAGTGTTATTTGAAGAGTTCGTCCTAAGTGATCTCTTTTCAGGAAAAAGATCCAGAGAGATAGAGCTTTAAGGTGCATACACAGAGCCTATCTTTAACAAGGTATTGCCTTATCTCTTTTAAATAGTGGCCCTGTCTCTGAAGGTAAATGTAAAAATCCTGATATTTTAAATCATATAATCTCTGTAGAGTTTGCAACATGCACTTTGGCCTTTCTGGGAACATGTATTTAGAACGTTAAATCCTTCAATTGCCCATTCCTTAAATTAAGAATATGCACTACTTGGTTTAAGATTTGTGTCATAAACCAACCAGCAGAATATCTGATTTCTTTCTCCATCTCAAATTTTCTTATTATTTTAAATGGAACCTCCAAGGTTTAGTTTAAGGTGAATCTAGTAATAGATTCCAGTTTATTTTTAATCAAACACCTTATTTACAATCATACATTATACATGATTTACATGTAAGATTTCTATAATTTTCAACATTATTTTGTAGTCAGAATTACACCAATGAATTATAGGCTTGAGCTGTGCTGCATAGAAATATTCTTCTAAATTGGGTATTGCCAATCTGCCCTCATCTTTAGGAATTTTATGTGTTCAGAAACTAGTTCTAAGTTTATCCCCATTCAAAATCAATCCAAACATTTTTTTGTCCCCCTCTATTAATGGATTACTTGGTACTGGCATTGACAAAGACAGAAACAAGTATAGGATTGTAAGCAGCACATTCATCCTGATATTCATCTCTGTGTTTTGGTATATTTATGTACTTAATTATCTATATTTGTTTCATACAACTTCATGAGGTTATATATAATTTGGATTCCCAAGTATTTAATAAACTTTTTATTCCACTTGAATTTAAATTGCTGTATCAGGAATAGAGAGGGACTTTCATCAAAGTGGAGCACCTACGTTTTCTTGATATTTAATTTATAACCCATAAGGTGTTCTTAATAAGCAAATAAAGCTATTCATTTAGGTAAACATTTTTTCTGGTTCTGCTAATATTATTAGCACGCCATCTGCAAACAAAAAGATTTTAATTTCTGTATCTCTGGGCCAAAAGCTAAATAAAAATTTTTTTTTATTTTATACTAACCCTAAAATAGGTAGGAGAAAAGTAGAACAAAGAAAAACCTACCTGACCCAGAGTTTGGCAAATCAGATAAAGGCTCTCTATCCACCTCCATCTTGTCTTTTTTCTTTATCTTTTCCTTCTGTTCTTTCTTCTTCTCTTTCACCTCCTCCTCATCTTCGTCCTCATTATTTCCATTAACAGCATGAACATGTTGCTGCTGACTCATCTTCTGCCTCAGAGCGTTAATCTCCCGGCGTAGCAGCCGGATGCGTTTTGTGCGGCCGCCACTGGTGCGCATGGAGGTGACCATGTCAAGTTTTTCAAGTAAGGCCTTCAGCTGCTCTTCTGTAGTCAAGTGCAGTCTGTTTTCTGGGTCCAGGAGAGAGTCAACTGTGGAGAGACAAAGGAAAAAGCAGGTTAACAGGGTTAGGGTCAGTCAGATGTTTACATACCCTCATGACAGAAAGTCAGTCTTTTCCACCTTTAAAATATTGTTTGATTTTTGAGAAAAAGAAAAATGGGCACACAAGTTTAAATCCTACAGACATAGGGTCAAAGTTTTCAAAATCTGAACTTTTTTTTTTTTTTTTTTGGGCCATATAGTGACGCTTAAAAGTATAATATTCTTGCCTCAAATGACCTTAAAATGTACTTTTGTAGAACAAAGGCAACAAAAAAGTGAACTTCTAACTTAATACCCCCCCGGAAGCTACTGCTGCCGCGGTGCATGCTGGGACAGCTGTCAATCTTGAGAACGGACAAGTCTGCCCTGATGCATGCTGGGTAAAGAGGAAGGGGCGAGAACAACATCCGGGGACTTTGTCCGTTCTCAGTCTTGTGTTCTTGTGAATTGGAACAGTACTAGGGCTGAGGCTGATGACATTTCATGAGCATACGATCACATGAAATGCAGAAGTACACATTTTTAAAAATGGCCAAAACCTCTGAAATATTACTCTTGATGGACATGTATTAATGTGACCTGATGCATAAACCTTTTACGTTGTGTGACTCAGAGAAAAAAAATTCCTAAGAAACAAATAGTTTGTATTTTTAGGTTAAACAATTCAACTTTAAAAATGGCTGGTTAAAAACATCAATGCTCACAATGAATGCATGTATATTTCTAAGCAGCATAGTATATTTAGTGCATTTAGAGAAAGAATACATAGATCTCAGTTTTCATCTCACCATCCTCCCATGTGCACTGACAGAAGCCATGTTTGTTTGGTGCCTCCGGCAGATGCATGCCAGTGCTGGGGTCAAGGCCGATGCTCTGATACTGCCTCTGAGCATGGCGGAGGATGGCTCCCCCCACTTCCCTTAGCTGTAAGGCCGTTTTGTGGAACAAGGTGTCCTTGGAGTTATATTTGAGGCAATTTGAAATCATGAGCTCGAAGTCTTTCTCTAGGTCTGCAACGGAGCAGTAGGCGTGTCCCTCCAGTTTGCTTCGCATTGTTGAGAAATCCATGGGTTCGGATATAAATTCGAGGTAATCTGGGACCTCAGTATAAAATTCAAAATAAAAATGTTAGCTGGTCGTACTCACAGGTAATAGTGCTGCTAAAACAAATGTGTATTGAGGAACTCCACCAACCTCTGACAGATTGACTGGCTGAGAGAAGATGTTGGCTGCATCCTTCTCCTGTAGCTGCTCCAAAGTGGATCGTAGAAGCACCTGCGCAGGTGTCAGCGTCATTTCAAGGGCAGCCTGTTGGATCTTCATCTGATGAGGATATAAACACATAAGAAAGATCAGAGGTATTCCAAAGGGATTTATTAAACAATAAATATACATTTTTGTTACAAGATAAAAAGTATTATTTTTTACAAGTATTTTTTGTTATATGCAAAAGCTGATTATTATAAAGTAGAATACTGAGAAATACATTCTTTGACTAATATCTTGCCTATTCCACTAAGTGTTGCAAAAATGCACCCCTCCTCATTTACCTCTTCTCTTTTAAGCCTCTCTCTCTTGCGGATGAGTTCCACTAGAAGTCGAGCTCTTTCCAGGTCTTGTCTTAATTTCTGCCAGTACCGTAACTCCTCTCTTGCAGCACTTAGCTTCTCATCCGGCTCCTTCTGAACATCAAATTAAAGGCCACAAAATGTTGTTGCATTTAGAGGTATAAATCCCATCTACAACATTTGTAAGAGACAGTGACAAAATTTATTAAGGGATACTGATTCCGATACCACTAAATAAAATCACCCGCAAGCAAGATTTAGGAAGATAAACATATTTTGGAGCAGAAACCAGGAGGCCCATGACAACCAATGAGCTACAGGGATCAACAACTTAGCTGGAGGATTTTCTTGAGAACCAAAACCAACCTTTATATCCAACAGTGAAAAGGAAAAAAAGGCCTTTAATGCAAAACAAAAATTAGATGACTGGTTAATTGATTTGTAACATTATTGTGAGAAAGTTTTTTTTTTTATTTTATTTTTTTTTTTTTTGCGCACAAGGCCCAACCCTGTGTGGTGGAAAAACTTAACAAATGAAGAGGTTATATTTCAACCATGCTGTAAATACACATTTTTTCAGCACAAACAGGTCAAATTGGAGACAGATGGAGCTAAATACGGAGTAATATTGGGAGAAAACTTGTTAGACCAAGAAAGAACTCAGGCAAAGCCTAGTCTTCCAGCAGGGGCAACTATTCCTAACATACAGCCACAGGTTAAATAATGTGGTTTACATCAGTTATATCCAAAGGGAGCTCTAAAGGCTAATGATCTGAATTAGCAGGCCTCTGCAGGGCTACTGTAGGTGACAATATAAGGAGGTAATTCCATAAATTGACTCAGCTGTGTTGGAGCAAGAATACATCAAAGACTTGCAAAACCAACTGACGACTGGATTTGGACGCCCTTAGTTTATATCAAAGAAGATTGATGTGCTAGAATTTCCTGGCTAAAGTCCTGACTGAAATCAATTGTGAATATAATCGATGCTTAAAAACGCTTTCTGTTCAACCTGTCTGGGCTTGAGCTACTTTTCAAAAAACAATGGAAGCAAATTCATGTTTTTAGATGTGTAGAGCACCCCTTTGTGTTTGATTTGGTTTACTGGAGGTGGAAGGAGAAGCTAAAACAACTTGCATCATACTGTTCAGCTTATTATGTTCGCCTTACAACTGGGAGTATATTTAAGCCCATATAGTCCTTTTCTATAGTGATCTAATACACTTAGAGCCTGTGTTGCCATACGAGGCATATATAAGACTTTTTTCTTCGATTAATTTGATTCTGATAGGTGCAATTTAATTTAAAGATACAACTTTTGCTAGTAATCAGCCAGAAACAGGGAAACAGGTGTTTTGCAGAGACGAGCATGCCTAAAGGACAAGGGATGCAAGTCTCGGCAGGATTGTGCCTCTCAGCTTAACCCCAGCACTCACTTTATCCCTCTCTGCCAAAGTTTTTTCTCTCTTATCATCGAAAACAAATCAAATCTAACTTCTTAGGGTTTCTGAGCAAATTTTAAGTCTGATTAAGATTGAGAAGCAGGCACAGGACAAAAACACACACACAGGTAGATTATGAGAGTTAAGTTTCCAAATCAATCTTTAGAGACTTTTTGTTGAGGCTTGACTGAGTGTCTTTTTTACACTCGCTGCACCTGAAATCCTCAGGATCCTGTTGTGGATCTTGTGTGCAACTTTATTGCAATTTAATTTAAACTCAGTAAAATTCTTATTTCCACATGTGTTATGACGAAAGCCTTGTTATTTTAACTGCAGTGTTTACATTATTTGTTGCTATGATGAGTGTTTCAGTTAAATAAATAGAAGTTTAGGAAAAAGTTTATGTATTATGGAATCAGCAATGTGTTTTGTATTATTCAAACAATATGATTATGTTGGAAAGTAGTGTGGGACCGTGCTTCGTCTACTGCATCCTCTTGTCCATCTGAAGCCAAAATACTAGACAGCTGTTCTCACCTGCTCTGCAGTCTTGTGAGTCTGCAGGTGGGAATGAAGTCGGCGTATTAAAGGCATCCCATTTCGTGACTGTCTTTTCAGTAACCAATAATTATGAAGTCTCTGCATGAACTGATTTTTCCTCTGTACTTCGACTCCCGTGCAGATCTTGTTTAGCCTGTGGTGAACAATGTTACATAAAAAAAAAGAGTGATTATATGTTTTTGGGCTAGATGACACATCTGAGTGTAAAAACACTTCAGAGATAATGGATTAGAACGAAAGAAGATTGAAGCACATTAATTAAACAATGTCCAACCTGTGAGAGGGGATCTGAGGCACAAGCAGCACAGGAAGATTGGAGCGGCGTGATGACCCCGACCCTTTAGTGTTCTTCTTCTTCTGGCCTTTGGTCAGCTTTTTGTTGGTTGGTGAAGGCGGGCTCTGAGTATATGACCGCTGTCCACGACTGCCCCTTCCCCCGACCAGCCTTCCTTCCACAGACTCATCCCCTGACCCATCCTGACGAGACCCAACAGGGGAATGATTCTCGCAGAAAGCAGTCTTCTTCACAGAGAAAGTGGTGCCATTGACACCAGTCTCTCGAACCGGGTCTATTTTCATATACAGACCAGCCTTCTGGGCACAGGTAACATGAAAAGCCCTGTAACAGTTTGCTTTGTGGCACTGAATGGAAGCTCCCCTGCCTTTTTGTTTACAGAGGTAGCAAGTGAGCTTCCAGCGAGCTGGAGGGATGTTCTTCACTCCCTCAACTGGCTCCAAGAACACCGTGTTTGCAAAGCAAACCTCTGGGATCCATATGGCACAGACAACATGCGCCCATCGACCGTCACTCGTCTGTTTGAAGGCACCTCCTCGGTTGGGACAGAGTACACAATCTACAGGGCGGGAGGGGGACTGCAGGCAGCAGCGGCACAGCCACTGGCCTTCAGGTACGTAGGGTACACCGTAGCATTCCTGGTGAACCGCCAAGTTGCAGATGTCACAGAACAGGATGACGTTACTGTTCAGACACTCATCATCCAGGCAAACGCAGCAGAAGGCATCCTCATCGACAGCGTTCTGGGATAAAGCTTGGCTGCGGGACTCCAGAATGGACTCCCTCTCCAGGCGATCGATGAGCAGTTCGAAGGTGTCTGGAGACACAGACGCGTGGCCATCAGACACCCTCTTTTGGTTCACCATCTCCAGCCAAGCCAGGTCCTCCTCGTCCATGTCGTACTCAGCCACATTGTCCTGCTCCTCCCCAGACCTTTCTATGAACCGATAATAGGCTGCTGGGAGAGGAGGCGCTTCACAGGGAGAAACTGACCTCAGCTCACGGAAGGTGGGCTCAGGCAGAGGGCTTTGGTGAGATGGGTGCTGGAAAGAATGGGTGGATCCCGTATGGTGCTGTGAGGCAGACCGCTGGTTTTGCTGAGATGTGTTTTTGCCACTCCTCCTGCTCTTATTGTTAGAGGGTTTCCTCCACGGTCTGTTTTTACCTTGGGTTTGCTCGCTGTTCTCTTTGTTGCTGTTGCACTCTGCAATGTCCTGAGCCATCATCTCATCCTCTGTAATGACTGGCAGAGGATCTGTGATGTTAATCCGATGGAGCCTTCCATCCAGATCAACCTCCACAATTTTCTGGGCCTGAGCATACGTCAGAGTCTCCCTGGATGGAGAGAGCTGTAGTCTATAAGGCGAGGGAGGCCTTGGTTGACCAGACTGCCTGCCTCTTCCTCTCCCTCTGCCTCGACCCCTTCCCATGTTGCGTCCTCTAGCAGTCGTTTCACATTCCCACCTGTTATGCTGCCGCATGAGACTTTTCTCCCTCTTTCTAAAACACAAAAAGAAAGAATGCCACGATTCAAGTTGGAGCAAGAAAAAAATATATACTGATGTTCTTCTTTTAAAAATGATTCTATTTAAAATAATTGCAGCTGCTGGTGGTTGTGTAAAAAGAATTGAAAGGTTTTTTTTGTATTGAAGAAACATGTCATCTTAAAACAATCTAATTCTGGTACAGTCCTCCAGAAGGGTAAAATACCATTCCAAAAAAAATATAGTTTTTAAAAATAATGGCCATCAATAGTTGTTAAAACCTGGTGTTTTAAAGATTAAATGATTCAATTTACTCTAATAAAGTTACCATGGCCTTTGAAGGAGGCATCACTGATCCTCCAACTCTTCACGTTTGCTTTTTAATGGTATTAAATAAGTTTTTTTCTTACCAAGCATTAAATCCTCCAAAATCTGTCTGACTTGGAGATATATAAAGATGTCTTTCTTTCCTAAATAAGGCGAGATCGTATGCTTACTACCTTATGTTTATGGATTGAAAAAATTGTCATTATATTTTTATACAAAGGTCATGGATTGCCAATTTCAAGTTCAGTAATAATACGAAAAACAAATCTTTATTAAGTTATAGATACATAAATATAATCACAACAATGCCACTGGCAATTTGTTAAATACTTATTTTTTTAATTGGGTTTTCCCCCCACCAAATGTCTGTACTAAAATTTTGATGTGACCCTCTGATATTATGTTTCAAAAGCATTGTTTATTTATTGTAAATTGATAAGTGATAATTTCCTAATTAAATTTTTGCTACATACAGATAATAAGCAGTTAGAATTCAAATATGTGTATTATTTATTTGTCTTTAGTAATTTAAATGTTACATTTTCTCTAGAACAATTTAATATCTGGGCGAAAGGAGCTCGGGTCTGGTGCCTTGCTCTGTAATAACACAGCTTGTCACCTCAACCAACCTTGCTGCACAAACAAAAATACGGCATACTACTGCTTGCATGCGTTTATCTTAGCTCTCTCCCTATTGGTCCATCTAAAGACTCTGTAACGCGGCTCAACGTCTCAGTGACCAATCACAGGGCAGCACACTGTTTTTTTTTTTTTTTCCTTCTTGTTGCTGTGCATAGTTAGGTTGTGAGTGCTAAATACCAACCCGAGAAGCTAACATCTGTCAGCCATTTTAGGCTCACGACAGCAGAGACAGCGCCTGTTTTGCAAGTTCATTAGCAGCCCAATTATACATTCCAACTGCAAGCAAAGAGCAGGTGCTTTTTACAGCACCGTGCCTCAATGCATTAACTAACAGCATGCATATAGTAGAACATGATAAAGAACAGAACAACGTTTCGGTTAGTTCTTTGTGCTTCAGACCCTTGCAAAATGTTGTCTCTATCCGTCTCTAAGATGATAACGTTGTTCGGTTGGACATGACACACGGATATAGTGGGGGGAAAAACGGCATTTATTCTAAATGGTGCTGAATATGCTGTGAAAATTATTACCCGCCTGGCTTACCTTGATGAACCGCCCTCTGCGGTGCCAGGGAAGGGAAAAACTGCACCTGGCTAAATGTCAGCTAGTGACAGACTCCGACCGAGGCGGACATGCTAGCCGTTAGCAGCGTCATCTTTAATGCTCCGCTTCTCCGCCGCGGCGCCGCTACAGCACACCAACCCGACCCGGTTTCATTGGTGCGACTTCAGCCTTTGGAACGACGGCGGTTGGAAAGTCCGAGACTGCAAAATCTCGAAGATATCAATTTAAAGTACCTAGGATGAGGCTAAATATTCAGTCAAGATGGCTTGAAAATACGCCCCTTTAGGAGAAAAAAATTACATCGGCCAATTGTCGGTCGCCGCTTTACCTCGCACGCGACGCGCACCGGTTAACGGTTGGTCCGCGAGACCAAGCGGGCTCATCGGATCTTTCGTGGAGCTCATCACAGATAAAAGCGATGAGAAAAGCAACGGGAAGGGTGCTGCGCGCCCTCTGGTCTCATCTACTTCCACTGCCACCTTACTACACACCTAATGCACCCATACAATGCATCTATACGGCATCTGTGGACTCTTATCTATCTGTGTGCAGCGGGATATTTTATTTTTCTTTATAGTAATGAATATATATAGCAAGATTTCTATGATTGTTTTCAAATGATTCAATATTAATAAAAGAAAAGAATATATGTTTATGTGTACTTGTGCTTTGGCGATATGTTTAAAACTACCTGGCCGTTTTTTTTACTTTTAATGAGTTTATTTGACAGGGAGAGTGAGCATTAATAAACATATCTATAAATGTACCAGAATGACCCTTAGCAGCCAGTTTCCCCTTGTCTCTGACAGATATTAAAATTATGGTTAAAAAACATATAGTGTAAGACAAAAAAAAAAAAAAAAAAATATATATATATACTGTATATATATATATAACATGAAATAATTAATTGAATTAGTGCTGACAGGATCTACCTATCAAGTATGAACATTAGGATGTACCAGCTGTTCTGCTGCCATCAACACCTTTGTTTATAGATGTTGGAGATCAGCCTGTTTTTCCAGTGTCCTGTTTCTCTGACTGACTGGCTGGATGTGCTCTATTCATCCTCTGACACAGAGCTCGTCTGCCTGGTTGTGTGTTTCCTAGATGGGGTCGTCTTTTTCAGTTGCTTTTTGTATCTCTTCTGTCTCCTTGAACCCCAGTCGTCCTTGGCAGATGGCCACTCACACTGAGCCTGGTTTTGCTGGAGGTTTCTTCCTGCTATTAGGGACTTTTTCCTCTCCACTGTCGCTACAAGCATGCATAGTGTGAGGAATTGCATCAGAGTCAATGAGTCGATGCAATCAATTTGACTGTATGATCTGGTGAACTGTAAAGTGCTTTGATTAGACGTGTTGTGAATCAGCGCTATAGAAATAAACTGAATTTAATTGAATTACTTGGGCATTTTGTAAAAATGTCCTTGCTGTAAAACTGATACAGGTGGGTAGCCTTTTCATTTCTCCTAAATTGTGTTATTGTCAAGAAAAGAAAAAAAAAGATTTGCGGCCTGAGCATCACAGCTTACATTGTGAGTTTCTTCCATTATAAACTTGCCAAATCCTTTCTGCTATAGCAAAAAAAAAAACAAAGCAAAAAAAAAAAAATATCTACTGTTGATTAATTTTGTTGTTTATTAGATTTGATGATTGAAGCTGGAATAGAAAAGTATTGATCAAGTGAACAGGGACCTCTATAGCATGAAATAGTCAGCAAATGTGGTTGTGGAATACCAAGCATACCATATGTTTTCATTGAGGTCAGCACACCAGACAAGATGCTGGATCCTCTCCACTGCCAAATTCTTGAGGTACTACAGTATATGTTACCATACTGGAGACATAATGCTGATTCACCTTGGTGATGACAAATATTTATATTTGTTTATTTTTGCTCGAACTTCCCACATGCTCGTTTTGCACAAAAAAATCTGTACACAGATCTCATATTGTACAATTTTACTTCTTATGTTTCTATCTATTCTTCTCCTTATCATTTTGGGCTTTTGCAGCTCCTAAATTATGGAATACTTAGTCACTGCAAAAAAAGTCTTCAATTGACCTTTTTAAATCTCCTTTTAACTCTGGATTCTTTTGCATTTAAATTGCTATAAAGTAATAATCAATTTTACATTAATCTAAGTGGTGTATTTCCTGTGCTACTTTTACTTAGATTATTTATTTTAAATTTTATACATCTTATTTGTTCTAAATTTTATTGTTTTTAATCATTCATCAGTTTTTTTTTTTTTTTTTTTTTAGAATACTTTGATCCGTGCCTGGTGTGCTTTATTATACCCTTGTTTTTGTTGTTTTTTTTAGAAATGTGTAAAGCAAATGGCCATTCACTCCACTTTGTACTGTCCTGAATATTTCTAGAATGGCAGCAAAAAAAATTACGTTTTTCTAGAAGAATTCTTTGCAGTGAGAGTGATGTCCCACAATGTCACATGTCATCAAACAAAAGCTGTTTGGAATTCAGAGATAGTGATTTATTTATAATTTTTTTCTTGTTATTTTTAAAGATAACCTATGTATCTAGCTCTCCTACTCAGTCCCAAATGCTTCTGAGAACTGTATTATGACTGAAAAGGAGAAAAACAGGCCTAAGACAATCTGCAATAATCATTATAAAAACAAGAAATTAAAACATTTTGCCATACAAATTGCTTTACATTTATTGATCAATTTAAATAAATTGAATTATATACTGAGGAAGTCTGGGGGAAAAAAATAAAAAAGCATTTTCCACTATATGATAAAACAATGTATAAAGAGACTCAATTTTATTTGCATCTTATAAAAAAAATAAATAAAAGTCACTCTAAATTTACAGCAAAACAATAGTAATTAGTCATAAGATTTGACAAACTTTTTCAATGTTTCCACTGATGTTTATATTATTTCTGTTGTGTGATGAACTCTGTTTTTTACTTATGTCAAACATTTTAACTTTCATATCTGCTCATTCAGTTTCTTGTTGCTTTTTGTAAAATTGACACAAACTATGCCAGAGAAAGAAAAAATTATTGAAACTGACAAAAAGTTAAGCTGAATTTCAAAGTATAAAAAGGCTTGGATTTGAATAAAATAGATCATGTAGCTCCTGAAATCCCACATCTGCAATCCTACACATTTAACCCTGCTATTTATAGAGTACTCTGTTACAGTCTGAAAAATTACAGAAGTATCTATATTGGTTTAAATATGTGCTGTATTCACTTCATCTTAATGGCGTTTTTCTTTCAGTTGCTACAATTAATTCAACCTTTTGTCAAACATTGAATGAATTTCCCCCCCCTGTGTTCGGACATCATGCTGCTTCTCTCCGCCTTTTTTCATCTCCACCCACAAAGCCTCCATTGGCTCCATCCTGATAAATATGAAGTTGAGAAACTTCTTCTCGTAGCATATTGTGGTCTGTCTTCAGCTGACTGTATTTGACTCATCTCAGGTAAAACTTTTTTTATTTTTTTTATTTTACCATCTTCAGAGACTATAAATAAATAATAAATTGAGGCATTATATTGCATTAACTTGGATCAGTCTTAATGTGTTCTCATTTATGCTATCTTGTAGAAACATATACTCTATTACATTCTGTCTTTCTGCATGGTAGGTTAAAAGTAAACAGAGCCAGGATGCTGTTGGCCTTTCTTCTTGTGTCCTCTGGGTGTTTCCTGGACCTGGCGGTGTGCACTGCAGGTAAGAAACTTCTTCATTTCAACAAAACCTGCTTATTATATTGATTTAACAAGACTACTGTACATTTTTATCAAGCACAGTGCATCAAAAAATGTAAGAAGAAAACAAGTTTGTTTTTCTTGACCTATGACCCCATCAGGGAATTTTTCATTTGGTGTGGTGGCAGATTCCCTTTATGTTCTCTGCCAAATTCTTAGTGTCTCTCTACAGGAGATGATTGAAATTTCTTAAGCTTGATGAGACTTAAATACATACACTGTCAGCTCAGATGAATATCAAAGTTTAGCAGCACATCCTGTCCAACTCTTATGGAAAAAAACGGGGAGGGATGCAAGCCAAATGACAATCCCAGAAAATTGTTTTTATAAATTGAGTCTTTGATGGGAACAAAGACTCTCTGGTTCAGAAGGGGGTCGGAGAGTGACAGGGCTTTGAGAAGCCCTTATAACATGCCATCTTTTTTGAAAAGGAGGATATGATGGTTGTCAGGATCACCCTGTGGTGATGGATCCCCACGGCCTTGGCCTGGATACAGGCTTTTGATACTCTTTGTCTGCTTTCCCATCTAACACTGCCATGCCACTGAGGCTCTTTAAATTAACACCCTGCTCTAAATACACTGCAGAGTTTCATTTGAAAGAAAGAAGCTGGCCCAATCTCTAGGATACTAGAAGCCCTTCCGGAACCCCCAGAATCCCACCACAGATCAGTCAGACACAGTTGATCGACAAATTAAAATTCAAAACTGTTCAGTAAAAACAGTATTGAAAATAAACCACCTTCATGACTAATGATTTATAAATTACAGCCACTACCTCTTGTTTTATCTGGATCTTATGCACGGATGCAGAAGTCCATATTTCTCAGAGGCGCATAAAGTAATCAGAAGTAACCAAGTGAAAGTAAAAAGTACCTTTAAAGATAATTACTTCGGCAAAAGCAATAGTCACTAATAATAAACGTATAAATAAAGTTCAGAATTCTGGCCATATTCTTGTAGGTTTATAGTTCTGTTGCTCTTTAGTCATTTTTTAAATTTTTTAAATTTTAAAAAGGCCTAAAAATTTGATATTGAGATGTTTTAGAAACAAACCGTGTTTCAAAGTTCTTTACTCCTAAATTGTCCTCTGTGTTCATTTGTCTTTATTAACATGGTCCTTCTGTAACAAACCTCTGAAGCCTTAGAAGAACTGCTGGATTGACCCTGGAATTGTTTTACAGAGAAAGAAATGTTTTATGAGAATATGGAAGGACTAAATTAGGAGGGATGGATATAAAAACACAATATCTGCTTGATTTTTCTTTATGATTCAGTAGCTGACGTTGAAATCGCAATAAAATACAAGAAGGTGTGTCTATGAGAAAATGTTTCAGGAGAACTTATCTGCCGGGTTGGAGGTTTAATCCTTTGAGGCCTCCTGTGAACTGTTTAAATGAGCTTAAATTCAAATTAGAAGCAGTAGTTTTATGACTGACATGCTGTTTTGTTGTAGATTTAGGAACTACCAGCCAAAAACATTCAGCAGTATCTAATAAATTCTATATTTCTCATTTCCCCCTCTAACACCAACAGCACAATCTGAACTGAGAATCACAACTATAAAGGTAATTGATCTTCATCTTCTCTTCTTCCAGTCAACCAATCGGTTAGTTTATATCCATTAGATATATAATTACTGAAACTGTGTTTATGTGCTTTTGTCATTCAAGCAAGAGCCATATACAATGTCAAAAGGAAGTCAGCTGGAAGGCTTCTGCATGGACCTGCTCTCTGAAGTGGCCAAGAAAGTAGGATTCAAGTACAAAGTGAAACTGGTAAAGGACAGCTCCTACGGTCGGCAGGATGAGAGCGGGAACTGGAATGGAATGATTGGAGAGGTGTTGAGAGGGGTGAGCTGGAGTAAAATCAATCCAAACACTTTAGAGTTTCACAAAATAAAAATAAATTGAACCCTACATGATCTTTCACAGGAGGCAGATCTTGCTATTGCTCCGCTGACTCTGACTGCAGCTCGAGAAAAAGTTGTGGGCATGACTAAACCCTTCATGCAGACAGGGATAAGCATCCTGCTGAGGAAGGACATCTCAGAGGGTGCAGGTTTCTTTGACTTCCTGACCCCTTTTGCACCAGAAACCTGGATCGGTATACTCATCGCCTACATTGGTACTGCTGCCAGCATCTTTATAGCTGCCAGGTTGGTCATAATAATTGTCTTTTGATTGTGAAAGCGGTCAGAAGGAAAGGGAATTAATGCTGCTGCTACATAAATTCTTGTCTGTAAAGACTTTTGCAAACTTTTTTTTTAACCTCTCATGCTTATTGCAGATTAAGCCCATCTGAGTGGAGTGAGGCTCAGAGTGAGAGAAACAGATTCAGTTTCCTCTACAGCTTGTGGTACACAGCTGGAGCTCTAACTTTACAAGGTAAAGCATAAAAAAGCACATTTATCTTAATCTTTTAGGTTCTAAACATTTTTGCTGTTATTTTTTATTACATTTTTAAATTTAGGAATTTATTTGAAAAATATATATTGATACCATGACTGCTATGAGTAAGTTTGGTTTATGTATATAAATGAATACGCTAACATTTAAAACTGTGTCTATCATGAATTAAAGCAGATCAATGGAATCTCAAAGCAATGAATGAATCCAAAAAAAAATGGAAACAAAAAATGTTACTTCTTATTAGCAGCGAGTAGCATTAACATTTTTTAATGAAGTACTAACAGGTTTTTAGTACTACATTAAAATGATTTTAAAGTTTAAACGTTTGTGAAAACCTCCCTTAAAGAGTTTTTCTTTTTTTTTTTTTTTTTTCCTTTTTCCTTTCCTCAGGTGCTGGTCCTCATCCTAAAGCCCTTTCAGGACGTGTCATCTGCAGCTGCTGGTGGTTATTCTCTGTCGTCTTACTGGCTTGTTACTTCTCCAACCTCAGCTCCTTCAAAACTCCAGAGTCCAGTCACCTAACCGTGAAAGGTTTTGAGGACTTGGCCAATCAGGAAACAATCCAGTATGGCTGCCTGGCTGGTTCTTCCACTCTTGCTTTCTTTAAGGTGAGTATGACCTCATTTTCCTTGTCTTTCCAGTTTGACACTTGGGGAATGTTTCTCTTTTCTTCTCTTGTCTCAGAATTCAAACAACCCAGTGTACCGCAGAATCTACGAACACATGGAGAGGGCGCAGAGTTTTGTGTCGTCTATGGATGAGGGGGTCAATCGGGCAAAAGAGGGAAACTTTGCCTTTATTGGGGAGTCTGTTTCTCTGGACTTGGCTGTAGCACGCCATTGTGAGCTGGTGAGAGTGCATGAGGTCATTGGCATGAGGGGATACAGCATTGCTGCCCCCCTAGGTAAGGACCCCTCCCCCCCATACATTTTGTTCATTGAAATCTACTAAAGGTTCAAACAAATTATAAGAAATATAAAACATTTATTACAATCAGATATAAGTAGAGCACCCACAAACTGTAATCAAGTAAGATCACCAGTATATCATATAAGAGTAAAACAATTTAAACAAGAGTAAAGAGGTATTTGGTCAAATGGCTACTTAAAGCACTGAGTAACTCATCATAACATTTGATATTTAAAATTATGTGATGAAGACAGACCAAAATGAAAAGCTATTCGCAAATTTTGATATTTTAAAAACTATAATAAAATTAGTAATTGGTGAAAGGGCTACTTAAAGCTAGTGTTGCGCCAATGCGATTTTTGGGCCCACATACTGATATCTGATATCTGATACCTGGCTGTGCAGTAATGGCCGCTACCGATACCATCTGTTTGAAATTGATGTTTGTGTGTATATATGCTTATATAACTGCATACTACTTGGATGTAAAATATTTGCCATCATGGCTTTGTCAAGCTGCTGCCTACCTTTGTGAAGCAGGAATAAGACTTATACAAAGTGAATCCAGTAGAACTTTTTATTGCCTACCTGCAATGGGTGACAATAGTTGAATAAACTTTTGCTCTCAAAATGGTATCGGTGCCCTATTTAAGTTATTAGAAATAACCTAATTAAAAAATAATGATTCCAAGTGATGAAAAATATATAACCGGCCCCTACAGTGTCAATATTTATTCCTTACTGTATATTAGCTTAATTTCCAAATTTCGTGGTAGGTTCAAGAAAGTTTGTATACAAAATTAATACATTAAAAAAAACTAATTTTAACTTAAACAATGACAATGATTTTTGTCTGGAACATTTATTTCCAAAATAGGCTCCTTTTTTATCACTTAAATCACCCAAGATGGATGGAGTAGCATAACATTTTACTCAGATAAAAAGGCGATATATTTGTTATTAAGATGTTACTCAAATAAAAGAAAAAGTAAGATGAAGTAAAACTACTTTTAAAAAAGAAATATTTTTTTGGTCAAAAAGTTACTCAAGTAAATGTAATTGAGTAAATATCACTAGTTACTACCCACCCCTAAATATAAATAATAAAATCTCATTAGTTGAGATGTATCAAAATGAATTAAATAGAACACTTAAATTCATAGAATAATATTAAGGTAATAAAGAATAATCAAATCTAATATTTGGTTTATTGAGAATTACTAATAAAAAAAAAGCAAAGAAAAAAAACAACCTTAAACATAGTAAAACATAAAAGAAAAGCTCCTACTGCTACTACCACTACTGCTAAAAAATTATTTTTGAATATCACTGTATGAAATATATCAAAAGCATAATAACTAAAAGCTCAGATAACAAACACACCATCATAATAATTACAAAATTTATATTACCCCTATATTATTATACTTATTAAATATAAATAAAGATTGATTCATTCACAAAATATTAATGAAATAAAAAATTATTCAAATAGTAGAAAGTATTTAATGCTTAAAAAAATACTTTTTTATTTTATATTATAATTTTTTTTAAATAATAGTCTTAAGGTAGTTGGCTTTATTTTTGCATTGTAGTTTTCTCTGTGTGTTTTCTAATTTTGTTTCTTTTTTCATGTCCAGTACTTTGAATTGTTTTGCCACAGAAACATGATATGTAAATGAGCGGCATTACTGTTATATATCACTAACTAAAAATGTTACATTTTGTCTGCTTAAAAAGCACAAGTCACCCTACAAAAAAACATTGTATATTACAATATATGTCATATTATCCAATATATTCAAGGTTCCCCGATCATAAAGAACCTAAGTGTGGCGATCCTTCAGCTCAGCGAGGCGGGTGAGCTGGCCTATCTGCGGAGCAAGTGGTGGGCGAGCAGCTGCATAGCAGACAAGGCCAAACCAGCAGCTGTGCAGCCACACAGCCTGAAGGGGATGTTCCTGGTGCTTGCTCTGGGGCTGGGGTTGGGGACCCTTGTGGCTGTTCTGGAGCTTACCTTTAAGAGCCGCAGAAAGGCAGCAGAACAGCAGGTATGTGCCAGATATTACTGTTACACACATTAGAAGTTATATTTCTTTAAGAGTATGACTAATAGAACTAAAACAAATAATAAAGGATGATACTCATATTCAAGCTTAGCATCATTGTTTGCATTTTATGATCACTGAAATGACCTGTTCTGTTTCTTTGCTGTATCTTTGCAGAAGTCTTGCTGCACCGTCCTGACCGAGGAGCTTAGTCTGCGGCTGAAGAACAGAGGTGCTAACAAACCCCAGGAAAATGCGGACAAAGAAAAAGCTTAGAAACTTTTTCACTTTCTAGTCTGGTTCCTTTTTAAATAAACCAGACTTAGTTTTTCTAGGTTTTTAGATATACTACTTGAATTCTATTTAAAACAAAATCTTTTAACCCATAAAACATATAGTTTTGTGTGTTTTAAACTGTAAAGGAAAAAAAATCACTGTTGGTTTTTTACAACAAAATAACGTTTAATCCAAGTTAACAATTAAAATCTGACACTATGACTCACATATAAAGCTTGGTTTTTAATCTAACATATTGCAAGCATTTCTGTACAGTTGGCAGCAGCATCTTTAGATTTCAGCAATTTCTTTCTCAAAGAATGTCTTGTAATAAAAATACGAGGATTGTAAACATTCCCGCTGACCTAAAAATGAAGTTTCTATTTCTGCTTTATTGTCTTCTGAATTTCTTTATGCCTCTACATCTGTTGTCTTCTCTTCTTTAGAGGGAACATTGATGACTTTGAGCTCATCAGTCAGAGTCTTGATCTAATCAGGGGGGAAAAAAGGGGGAAAAAGCAAAGATTAGATTTTTTAATCACACTCATAGCACGATTCAATTAAATTTTATGTGATACACCATCATAAAAAGCTGAAAAACTGTGAAGTGGAATATAAAGTGCATGGTTTAACCGTTTTCTTTCTAAAACGAAAAATCTAAAAAAAAAAAAAATGTTTTACTTAACTCTGTGAGTCTATAATTTGAATTATCTTATTTGCTGACACTACATCAGTAATCCTCCTTTCTTCAGCTCTCTATCAGCTTTGCTCATGTAAAGCCTGAACTTTTTGCCCAGTCTTTCAAGAAAATAACACTATTTCTGTCAGATTAGGTAAAACGCTTTTGTAAACATTCATTTTTAACTCTTGGCTTAAATTGACTAAGCCATTTTAACAGGTGAACAGTGTTTGACATAAAGCAGATCACTGTTGGTCAGTTTTATTGTCCTGTTCAAAGTTGAACCCTAGCATTACGTCCAACTCAGCATCTTAACAGGTTTACTCTCTGTGTTTAGCTGCTTCTGCCCTCTCATCCAATCAGAATAGCTTTGTGATCCCCACAGAATGGTTCTGCCACCATGTTGTTTTTATTATTTGCCTAAAAAGGTTTAATTTTGGATGCACCATTCTGTTTTTGCTGTTTTCTATGGATGAACTGTCCTCTTGACAGATTACTCTAAGCTGTTGACTCCTGAAGCTCCTACAAAGTTATCATAGGTCTTTTGCACATCCTGTCATTTAGGATGGATGTTGCTATGGATTTGCATTCATGCATTACACTTCAATCTTTAGGAAATTCAAAGTCTGAGACATTCATTTATAATCCAGCCCTGCTTGAAACCTCACTACAATTTCATCATTGGTCTTTATGATACTTTTTACTCTCAAATGTTCTCAATAAACCTTTGATAAGTCCAGAAAGCAGCTGAATTCCTTCTGAGATTAAAGTACTCAGAGGTACAATCTATCTACTGATTAGGGGATTTCTGTTCTATGTGAAAATATGAAAAGCTCAAAGGTTCTGATTACTGGTTTTAAGCAGATGCTCCTTCTGTGTCTGTATAGTCTTGTGTATGAAACTCACCATCAAAAAAGAGAGGTGATTTACAGCGGATCTCTTTCATCCTCTGATCGAACAGGGCCTTCATCTCCCTCTGTAGGGTTCCCTCTCTCTGTTCTGACCCGGCTGGTTGGTAGCTGGGTAAAAACTCCAGACTGTCGGTGCTGCCGTTGCTGGATGAGCTGCCGGACAGGCAGAGGCCATTGGGAATGCGTTCCGCCTCATGTTTCTGCTCTTGCTGAATATGCCAGTAATGCGGAGGCCTCCTGGTCACTGCAGGCGTCTGAGGAGAAGAGGTCTGTTTTCGGGGGCAGCTGTGTGAGCGGGCTTTCGTCCTTATCTTGGTTGTCTGTAGATTGGATGGAGGAGCCTCTAAGGTGCGTCTGACCCTGGCAGGGGAGGACGGAGGGATAAGGTTAAAGAATTTGGCTTCAGGCTCTGGCAGAGTGTGAGATTGTGGGACAGAGTCAGGCTGAGGTTCTGGATGGTGTTCAGGTTCAGGTTCAATGAAAACCTCACTGTCTTCCTCTGGTACCTGCTCCTCTTGTACCTCAGACTGCTCAGGTTCAAATTGCTTCACTGAATAATGCTCGGTGCAGTTTTGCTGCACTGATTTAGTTTCAGAGTCATTTTGATTAGTTTGAGTTTGGCAATCAGGAGCAGGAATCTCAGCACAAGAAACCTGCGGAGGGGTGTCCAGCTCAAAGCTTTCCTCTATCACAAAGGGAGCTGCCCCAGTGCTGTTGTGGGATTCTGTGGAGGACATCTTGCGGAAGAGGCCTCTGCGTGTCTCTGGTGGTTCATGGATCTTAACTCTGTGGGCTCGTCTCACAGGCTCACTCATGACCCCTTTGTGGAAAGCGGCCTTAGCTGCTGGGCCTTTTATAACCGGAGACATTTCCCCATTTCTGCTGTCCTGAGACAAGGTGTCTAGATCCTTGTGAAAAAACAGAGAGCGTCCATCCTCGGAGGACATGACAGAGACATCTACGGAGGGATGCCTTTGGTTGCCCCTCATGTGCTTCTGAGCTGCCTTTTGAATGTGTTTTCTAGCAGCATGCATAGCATGTGCAGGCTTGATCTGTTTTAAAAAGAAAGGCCTATTTGAGAATTAAGGAGGAAGATAGATGATATAAAGTTTTATTTTAAAAGTACTGTACCTTTCCTGACATGTCATTAATACCAACATGAACAAAGATGGATGACTCTGCCATTCCCTCCAGGTAGACATGCCGATAACCTGCAAACACAATCACAGGTTAGTGGCTTTGTACATTTCAGAAACATTTTTAGTAGCCATGTCTTGTTAATGTATTTATTTACATCTAGTTTTTTTTTTTTTATAAAACTTTGCTGAAGTGAGGTTTGTTTAGGTTTCTGCTAAATCTAATAGTAATTTTAATCTCAAATGTTTTACTGTGAATAAATTATGTGTGGAAAACCGTTGCAATGAACTAAACTTATGAAGAGAGGGTCGGCCAAAACTCCCCACGATAAATATCATCCTGACAAACAACAGTTCAGGAGGTGTGTGATGAACCCCGTGCATCCTGGAAGTGTTTAAAGTAGTCTGCTGGATATTTAAGAGAAAGCGCAAATTAAAACTAACTTTTCTGCTCTAGTAAAATTTTCAAATAGCAGGAACAGGGTCAGCTGTTTGGTTTGGAGTGAAATAACACTATAACAGAGAATGTTTTGTTAAAGAAGCTCTTTTTTGTGGACTAGAGTTAAGATAGGTCTTCCAACAGGACAAGGTGAGCAGTCTGTGAATGTCTAGGAAACTAGGTGAGGAATAGCCGGAGCAGATATTCCAATCCATAGACCAGGACCAATCTAAAAATGGCTGCCCATCCAGCCTGAAGGGACCTGAGAGAATCCATAAAGTAGAATGGTGAAAAACATCAAACAACTGCAATGCATCCCCAGGAAGACCTGACAGAGCTCTGAATTGCTGTGGAAGGTGCTTCAACATAATTTACCAAGTTATGCATTTGAATATGTATGTAAATGGGATTTTTTTCATTAATAAAAACTTTTCCTCTGTCATTTTAGGTTATTTCGGGAGAAAATATAATCAATTAAAAACAATGCTTTAACATACTACATTTTGAAAAAGGTGAAATGTTTACTTTCTGGATGCACTGTTCTAATGAGCCAATCAGTTTCACTGCACCAACCATGTGGTTCATCATTAATCATAATGGAATAAAGAGGAACATTTCTGCTTTACAACTTTACCGTCATCATAAAAAATATACCGGAAATAGTAAAATAGTAATCACAAGGATCAAAGTGGTGTTTGATTTATTTTTATGTATCACCTGAGATAATTTATATACATATATACAATAAATAGTAGTTTAACATATTTAGGTAAAAAAAAAATCATTACACTTCTGAAGATTAGTGTAAACTGGTGTTTGTATACTTTTGCTAGTATTGTATCAAAATACTCAAGACTTCTCTTGTCTCTTGCCCCCTGTTTTTTGAAGTGCACTTTGAATAAAAAAAAAACAAAGCCAAAAAGGGGTGAACTTAAATTAACAATCTTTGAAATACAATCTAATGCTCTCTGACACAAACAAAAACAGGGTTATCTAAGGGTACTGTAGCAGGTTTATGATCCTAAACATTGTCCATCCATCCATCCATCCATCCATCCATCCATCCATCCATCCATCCATCCATCCATCCATCCATCCATCCATCCATCCANTTCCGCTTTATCCGGGCTGGGTCGCGGAGGCAGCAGTCTAGGCAGTCTAAACATTAACCTGCCAATAATACTACTGTACTCCAACCCAGAAATCTAACCAGTTGCCCTACCTGGCATCATGCTGGTGAAAGCAACTGTCCTCTGTCCAATGAAATCTCTCCCAATTGGATCATGATCCCAGACTTGGAACCTTACCAGAGCGATCTGAGGCATTTGGATGCTGAAAACAAGGGTTTCCTCCCACATTGGATTGAAGCCTAAATTGTGGATTAGTTCAAAGAATATAACACAGGGAGATAAAATGACTTTCAGTTTGAGTTCCTGCACTCACCGTTGTCATCAACCACTCTGGTTTGCTGTTTGGAGCAATCAACAGGCAGACCGATGATCTCAACTTCAACGAAGGGATCGATAATCTGACAAGAAATAAATTCAGATCTATTTTGATGGATACTCAATAAGACTCGAATATTAATTCTACTTTATAAGCTCTTACTTCTCCTCTGTCTCCAAACATCGAGTCTTTGGGTTTTGGAAGCTGTTGCCCACTGATGATCTTTAGCATCAACTGAGTTTTTCTGTGTCCTGGTAATGGATCTTCCATCACTGGGTTAAAGGCAGCTAAGATGAACCAGACATTTTATCCCTGCTTCACAATGTATTAATAACATCCAATATGCTTTCTGCACATGCTGCATTCTCCATACCTTTACACATGCATTTAGGCTTTAGAATATATCCACAGTTTCCGTTGCTTGAAAACTTGGCTCTGTTCAGTTCAAGCATGCGACCTTCTGTTTGGTAATTCATTGCGACTAAGATTCAATAAATACATGCATGTTAAAATGGGGAAACCCTTCTGATTACAGTACACAGCTTTTCAGGGTGTAGTCTATATCCATTACCCATATGGCATCCTGTGTTCCAGTATGGCTGCGGGTTAAAGTTGCTGGAGTCCACTCTGAAGTTTGAAGGGTAGACTCTCAGAAGCTGGCGCTGATTGAAACGCACCAGCTCACCAGGTTTTAGCTGTAAAATCTGGTTTACTACTGTCTCGTTCAGAGATGACACCTGCCAGCTGCTCAAAAAACCTGCATGACAGGTATCCATAGCAACATCTTGAATGTGATGATTTTAGTAAAAATAAAATCTGTACATTAATGCTCTTTAACTTTACCTTGTGTTTCTATGTCATGCACACGGACAGATTTTGTGTACTTGACCAGGTCTGACAGCGCTCTGGAGAGTCTCATGGTTTTCCTTTTTCTAAAGATACACAGATATAACAATGAATTTAAAACATTTTGGACTGAAATGGTGCATATGATGCTGATTCCAAAGACCTTACTTGGGGTGGTAAACAATCTGAGATCTCTCCCGGCTGCTGTCTGATTCACCATCAGACATGGCCTTGTTCTTTACACGTATTTTCTTTTTCCTCTAAACATAAATGATACATTAAGCTTTTAGAAATCTGACTTCACATTACGGATTATAAATGAGAGAATCCAAATAAATAGATGAGCACCTTTCTTTTAAAGCTCCTTATGATCGATCTGCCAAAGCGTCTCTTCTTTTTGGGCTGATTAGTTGATTCTACACCGTTCCCATCCTGAAACAGTTGAAAGCTGTTTGTTAATCCATCCATCCATCCATCCATCCATCCATCCATCCATCCATCCATCCATCCATCCATCCATCCAT